GTCATCTGACCACGATTCAAAATGAGGAGATCCGTCCCAAAATAGCAAAATAGCGAAGATATCCTGATTTAACGAACACCATGTTCGTTAAATTAGGATTTCAAGATTTGAAATCCTAAATATTCGATATCTAAACCTGACCTTCATCATCTGACCACGATTCAAAATAAGGATGTCCCTCCCCCACCCGAAAAAAATGACGGGAGGCTGTCTTTTCAAACAGCCACTGGTGTTAAAGGCGTAGAACTACTTGACTCGCGTCGTGACTCTTTCGTTTCTCGAAGTTTCTCGTAAGTTTTTAAGTTGAAGTAAGTTTTTTTTGTAAGTTATGTTGTTACCCTTTATCTCTAAAATGAGACATTAGTTATGCTAATAGCAAAATAGCTAACAGAATCAGGACTCTATAATTTTTTCAATTAACGACTCTTTTTAGTGGCCGTTAGTTAACCGTAGCAGAATTTAGTTAGTAGTTATTCGTAACAAATTTTTGATCAAACATTAGCATAATGTTTACTGTGCTTCAAAACATGAATGCATTAAAAATCTTAAAGAATACTTTTTTAAAAAATTATGATAGTTTCAAGTAATACTAGAATTAAATAATTCCAACGTAAAATCACGAGATGGGTAAGTAATACAGAAAACATAATGGGTTTTCAGAATCAAAACATAAAATTCGTTTAAATGTTTGTAACCTTGGTGTGTTTAGCCGCTTTCTGCCCTGCTTGTCAACGGCTTAATACTTTTATTAATTTGTAACTAACTCGGAAATACCAATTATATTTCCGAGGATAAAAATCGATCTGTTTTAAGGAGGTATCTTACAATTATATTCTTATTTATTTTTCATAAAATAAATTTAAAAAAATAAGCAATCTGCCTCGTTACCGGTCCACTTGCTCCCTGATGTTCACATAGTAACTAATGCCAGACCATTATCATCAGAATCTGTAAGAATTTCGGTTGTCTTCTCATTAGAATTAAAAAAATATATATAGAACATATTTTTAAAATTTGTTCCTTTCCTTTCAAACACATGCGAGATCAACGAATGCGATAAAAATGTATCATGTTCAAGAATCGTTAAAAAGGGAAAATCAGATTTAGGGATAAAAGAATTCTCTTTATTTCTAACAAGTGCGAGTGAAATAATTTAACAAAAGATATCAAAAATTAAAAGTTAGGAAATTAATTAATTAATTAAACTTTATATTAGACAGAATCGAGCAAAAATGCTGAAACTTCCAATAAAATACAAAAGATAGATATTTGAATACAAAAAAAGAAGAAAATGCAGAAGAATACTCTTTATTTCTAGATATCGAAGTTTTTTGCTTCAGTTTGGTGTTGTTTAGTTCATTTATAGTCCAGTTTTGAAGCAACACGAGGGTGATTTTGAGACGGACCTCCTAATTTCGAATCGTGGTCACATGACGGTTGCTTCTGCCGCCATTGACGAATTTTCGTAAGAATCTGGCATTGCCAGCTGTCACACGAAGTGATGCTGACGTCATCGTGACGTACCAACGTGTCGCCATCAGATATTCTAGTACGTAAATGCGCGGAAATTTACAGGTAGAATGTGTAGCTGTGGCCGAGCGGTTAAGGCGATGGACTAGAAATCCATTGGGATCTTCCCGCGTAGGTTCGAATCCTACCAGCTACGAAGTCGATGTTTTTTTTCCCCCTTTAGAAACGAGTTTATCCTTTTTTCCCCTGTTCTTTATGTTCATTGTGTGTGCTTCCGAACTTTCTTTTGTAACTTAGTTGATTACAGCTTTTACAAGATACACTTTATTAATTTTTTTTCCGAAAACCCCAGCATTGTTTACGGTTGTGATAAAATTTCTATTCTGAAATTGTTTGTTTCTTGTTTTACAGATACTTCGTCTGGATGGTATATGAATAAATTTTCATTTTCGGGGTTATATTGAACGTTGATAAAGAGGGGAATTGCCAAAATATCTTGAAATATAGTCCATTGAGACGAAATTTAAAATATTTATTTTATGGCACAAACTAAGAGAAAATTGCTTGCTTTAATACACCATTACTTTCAGATTTATCTTGAATAATTCCTGGATTTCAAAGCGGAATTATCCTCAGAGATACCTATTAATTGAAATTTAATTTGATTGATTGAAACAATAAAAGAATATCTACTTGTATGATATATGAAGCAGCAGGTGCAAGATATGTTATCTTTTGCGATAATCTCAAATTCTTTCTACGACATTGTTCTTCACAGGTTCCTTCTTTTATCATTATCACAGATTACCGCTTTCTTACAGCCAGGGTCGGATTATTAAATAGGAAAAATATGCAACTGCCTAGGGGTCTTTTTTTTTTTTCTTTCTTTCTTTGCGGTACTTTCAAAGTAATTTAATTTTGTGCTTTCGTTTAATATACAAAGGCCGTGCACTCAAACTTATTAAAATTAAAATCAAGTATCGTTTATATTTTGGAACATTACATTCCTCATTAATTATTTTCTACATGTTTTACATTATATATTTTTAATTCTAAAAAAAATTGTTGCTTTATTATTTAAAAACATCCGAGCCTGTAATTATATAGTATGTAGATTGTGTTAAAAGGAGTTTTTTTCATTTTTTTTTTCCTACTATGTGTTGATATCAAGTTTTTCATGAGTTTAACTTTCTGAAAAGGGTGTTCAGGTAGTTGGTCCATCTAAAGACCTTTCACCAATCCATTGCAAAATGAAAAGAAAATACCCACAACCAGTAAACAAAAACAAAATTAAAAAAACGCCCGAGCAGGCACTCGAACCCTGGACCGTCAGGTTAAAAGCCTAACGCTCTACCAAACTGAGCTACCCGGGCTCGGTGCGAGATATACTACTACCTATGACAATATTTTATTTTGCTGAAGTGAGAAAACTTTCCATGAAAATTAATGATTCACAACTGCTAAACATTTAATATATAATTTGACTGATTGATCGAGCTGGGTTTTTTTATATAGCTATTGAATATAGGTTTTTATCAGTTTTATTTTTAATTAATTTCTAACAAAAGCTTCATATTGAAGCGATAGTATTGTTCCGGTGAATGATTTTTATTCTGTTTTCCCCACAGTGTTGATACCATGTTTTCCTATGATTTTTTCATAGTTTTGATACCATGACAACGGTATCAAAAATGATAACGAGACTGAATTTTTGAGATCTGAGTTTCACTTTCTGAAAAGAATGTTCAAGTAGTGTATCCATCTAAAAATAATTTCACCAATTAACTTCAAAATAAAAATAAAATACTCAATTCCAGTGAACAAAAACAAACAAAAAAAACCGCCCGAACTGGGACCGTTAGGTTAAAAGCCTAACGCTCTACCGAACTGAGCTACCCGGGCTCTCTGCATGCTCTGCTATTACCTATGATAATATTTTATTTTGCCAAAAGAGATGACTTTTTTTTTTCCATAAAAATGAATGATTTAGAAAATGTCATCTTCAAAGGATCACAACTTGCTAAACATTTAATATATAATTTGACTATTAGATCGAGTTGGAATGTTTTTCCTTTCTTTTTTTTTTTTTTGGCAGTATATCTATTTCTGCAATACTTTTTTGGTAAAAACGTCGTGTTAATTTCAGTTTGAATAGCAAGTACAGAAAAGCACCGTTTATACGTCAAGGGACTGACGTAAAAAAAAAAAAGGATAAATAAAAAGAGGTATAATAGAAGTTTTAATAAACAACTGTGATTATTAAAAACTAAACGCTATTAGTGCAAATTCATTAAAAATTATTAATTTTAAAGTTTTTAAAATAGTACAAGTATATTACTACATAGTATGGAAATCGATAGTTAAATTTAAAAATTAAAGTGAGAAAAATCATACCTTTATTGCATATCTTGAGCACTAATTATACATACCTTTTATGTGCCTACAGGTAGACATTTAAAGAAAAAATATCTTTAACGGTCGTCTGACGTGCTGATTGCCTATGAGTATCAAGTAAGGTTTTGTTTTCCACTATTGTCCGCTCGGGTCTTGAGTACTGTTGTCTTGTATGGGACCCTTGCAATAAAAATAAAATTAAAACTATTGAACAGGTACAAAATAGGTTTTTGCGTTACATATTTTACCGAACAAATCACTATTATCCGCAAGACTTATCCTCATCTCATTTATGTAACATCTTTGGCATTCACAGTATGAGGGTCCGACGTGATCTTTCTTGTCTTTTATTTTATCATAAGATAATTAATGATGCCATTGATTGCAGTGACATATTGAGCCGTATCACTTTTTCTGTGCCGACTTGAAGTCTGAGGAAGAGTTGCTTATTTATTAATAATGTATTTACCAGGTTTAATTACATACGCAATTTTTCTAGTTATAAATTTTACAAGATTTTTAACAGGTACTCTGATGATCTTGATGTGTTTAATGTGTCTTATGGTGTTTTTAAGACTGGATGTTTGCGGCTTTTGTGTTCTTGAAGTGTTTTTGTTTTGTGTGCTTTTTAAAATCGTGTTGTGTTTTTAGTGATTTCTGTGTCTATCTGTTGTTTTCATTAATCTGTGTCTTACGGCTATTTTAGTGTTTGTTTCCGTATCATGCACTCTGTAATTTGAGTTTATTCTGTGCATTTTCTAAATAAATAAAAATAAAGTACATCATTATGAATTGAATTAATTTCGTTGAATGTTTTTTCACTATTCTTTTCACAAAAGAAATAAGTTCGAACTTTTTCAATGGAATCCATTGTGTCTGTAAAGGAAGGTGGAACAACTTTTTCACCATCGCTTTACCATCTTTTTACTTTCTCGTATACGAAGTATACAAAGAGAAAGTATTGTAATCGTCAAAAAATTTGAGCTCGAGATTTTGACGAATCTCCACGTTCTAGACCTCACTGAGTCCGAAAAACACAATTTTGGAATCATGTTTGTCTGTGAACACGATAACTCGAAAACTGTTAGAGATACAGGGATGAAATTTCATATCTGATCTTTACACATAATTTGTAGGTTTCTATCAAATTTTGGACAGAATCCGTCTATGAGAAGTCTGTCTGTCTGCGGTTATGTGAACAATTTAACTCAAAAACTGGAATAGCTAGTTGGATAAAATTTGGTACACAGTTTTATCATCAGGAATGTAGGTCCGTATCAAATGTTGGACCAAATCCGTCAAAGGGTTGACTGTCTGTCGGACTGTATAATCGCATACTTGTAAAAATTATATCTCCTAAACATATTGGCTTAGATAATTAAAAATTGGTATGACGGTTTCTAAAATTAATTATAGATCTGTGCCCAAATTTCGTTTCAATCGATTAAAAAAAAAGCTTGAAATTGCATAATTAGTTTTCTAATCTGATTCTCCATACGCATGCGTACTGGTAGCAATCTCTGTGCACGCGGAAGGATTACGCCACTTTGTCCTTGAGCCGCCAAGAGTGGAAGCGTGTGCTAGATGGGTTGTAATCGCATGTCTTTGAATTTGATTCTTTACCTAAATATTTTACAATCACTATAATCTACAATGAAAAATCTTCTGACAGTCATTGGATTCTGGGTTACAGTAGGTTTGAAGTTTTTATCCACGCGGGGGAGGGGAAACAGCTCCTTTTTGGGAAAGCATACGAGAAAGTTTAGGAGTGACCACTCCCGCTGGTTTCTAGTAGAGTTATAGTAAAATGGCTTTGGGATTGAGATTCATTTAAGAAAAGAAATTCATTTACTGTATTCATTGATATTATTTTTATTAATTAATTTTGCTAATTACTAATTAATTATCAAATAAGTTTACTTACCACGGTCTTATAAAGGGTTAAATTAGCACCACACAATTTGTCTTCTATTAATTCATCAACTGTGAATGGTCAATTCATCAACAGAAATGGATAAAAAAAGGAAAAAGTTCAAAATTCCTTTTTCTTATTAAAATTCGCATTTGTGTCTTAAATACAAGTTATTTTTACGAAAGAATGTTCTTATACTTTGATCATATATTATTTTTGTACAAATAGCCAATAAAATAAAGAGTAAGTGTGTAACAATTTGGGGTCAAAATAACCCCGCTAATGTTCCAAAAATGGGTGCGTGTGCTGTATTGTTCAAGTACAACCAAAAGAAGAATCCAAAATGAAAACTTAATGCTTCTTCATGAAACATGGCTTTACACAACCGAAACTGTAACATATATTTCACAAAGAGGTGCTTCAATCAGCCTGCAATGAAAGCTATTCCGTCTCCCTCCCAAATTCTTTGAAATCCGACCGATTTTATCGCGATGCCACACAGCAACTTAATCCTCTTATTCATTGATTGAGAAGTCAAGTCACCTCGGCAGAACCAAAGATCTTAAAATCGAAATCACAGGTGGGGCACGCTTTGCCCGTTTTGTTCTTCAAAGATTTGCCTCTTAAATCGCATCTTATGATCCGATTGTAGTTGCCTCAAAGTCCCAAAGGCGGTACCAGGCAGCTCTTCAAACAGAGGTGACCACCGCTGTGACAATCCGTTCGCAACGCTCTTGGTGGTCCGGTTGTCATCCTAATCTTCAAGCCCCATTGCCCACCCGTTCAACCCCAAAAGGGGTAAAATTCAATTCACTCGGAACGGAGCAAATTACCACGAAAAGTGAGGTGGTTTTTCTTTCTGGAGGAATGTTGCTGTTGAACAGTGCCGAATCCGGAGGGGGGGGGGGGGGCTATGGGGTTGCAGCCCCCCAGAGCTAAACCAGAATAAATTATCATATTTGAAATCACTACAGCTGTTTGTTCCTAAATCCAGACGAGATGTTTCTTGTGTTCTTTTCTTCTACGAGGTAATAAATGGTTCGATCGATTGTACTGATATACTGAGCGCTATAAATTTCGCTGTGCCTGCCAGATCTTTGAGGAACTAGGGTTCGTTTCCTAATGTGTATTCTAGATTTAAGTATATTGACAGGTTCTCGTTGTATAAATTTTATAAGACTTTTAACAAGATCTCTGGTGAACTGGACATTTATCATATGTCTCCTACTGTTTTTAAATCGAATTGTTTTCAACTTTTATATACATGACCTGATTTCTTTTTCTTTTCTTACACTTGACTATACATATTAAGATTTTTATACGTTGATCTAGTGTTTGTGTGTGTTTGAATTTTTGACCCTTGCTTTTTTTAATGTTTTTTTTTTATTTGGTGTTCTACATTTTTTTAAAAAAAATATTGTGTGATTTTTTTTTCCATAATTCTATTTTGACGGTGTGCGGCATGGACTTTTGGGGCCTCGGTGTGTTTTTGGTGCTTTTGTAATTGCATGTTTTCATTTTAAAACATTTATGTGCTTACATTTTTATAATTGATGAGGTTTTGAGCTTAGAACTGTTGTATTCTCTGCAGTTACTTTTTTTGTGTGTGTCTTTTAATTCACTTTGTGACTTGTGATTTTGTATGCTTTTATTATGCACTCTGTAAATGGAGTCATCTCTGTAGTGCACTTTCTTTGAATAAATAAATAAATAAATCGCGAGGACGCGCAAGGTGGTGTCCGACACCTACGTCACGTAAAATGTGAAAGATACTGACTTCCGTGTAGTGGAAATGACTCAAATCCATGCTATCTGTCTTTAAGGTTACATTCAGCAGTTGGAACGTCTTTTAAGAAAAAATTCTTTCATTTTTTTCTTGAATTTCACCAAAAAGAGTGTGAAAACCCCCCTTGCGCGTCCTCGCGTCAGTTTCTTTGTCCAATTGAGTGAACGTTTTAGGAACAGGAAAATAACGCTATCTCGCTATTTAAGATTTAGTGAAGAAACAATTGGATTCAAGAGCATTCTATATTTCTAAAATGAGATTTTTGCGGGTAGAAGACTTTT